ACCTTTTGCTTATAATTCATACCTCTTTAATCAACAGTAACCACATTATATTGCCTCCACTCCTTAAGTAACAGCTACACCAACTTAAATCTGTACATCTTTTTTCTTTATGCCAACTGAAACATCAGATATAGCATCACATATTAGATTTTTTTTTATTTGAATGTTTAAAAATAGTATATTTTATTAAAATAATTTAAGTCACTGAGTTAGATATTTTTTAAATTTACATATTTATTATTTATCTTTTAATATTTAGATATAAGAATTTTTTTATATTTTAATACTTTCTCTACTATTTTTTTTTCTCTTCTTTTTTTTTTTTCATTTTTCTTCTACCTAAGTTTGTACTTTTTTAAGTTTTAGAGGTTTCACATGGATTTAATTTTTTTTCTCCTTCTCCTCCTCTCTCTCTTTTCTTTAATCACTTGGTTTTTTCATCTTTCAGTCTTTCATTGTTTTTTCTTTTTTTTTTCTGATCAAATAACTCATGATATTATATTAGATTTTTAAATATTAAAAGATAGATTATAAATATTTAAGCTTTGAAAGTATCTAATTAAGTGACTTAAGTTATTTTGGTAAAATATATTATTCTTAAATTTATATATTTATTATTTATCTTTTAATTTTTAAATGTGAGATTTACTTTTTATGTGTTAATACCACAATGCTAAAAAAAACAAAGAAAGAAAAAGGAAACCAAAATATGCAAAATCATGCATTGCTCAGTTATTTCTGGTAATTTACATTTATGCAAAAAAAAAAGCTAATCCGAATTATTCACTATCCATTGAATTAGACATATTCACATTAAAAATAAATGAAAACTTTTGTATTATATCAATGACATGAAACGAGTTGAACTGTTGAAGTGACTACTAATCTATTCCATCCATTCAAAAATATTAAACATTTTTAAGAGATTATATGTTAAAAATATAAAAAATTTTGGCCATTTAAAGTGTAATCATTATCTTTTTTTTTTAAATACTTCTAATGATGAATGACTTTATATTTATTATAGGGTATTTAATAGGAGTAAATATAAAAAGATATGGTTAGTTTAAAAGTATGTAATAATTTTATTGAGGGTGAACTTTAGTTAAAATTTTTTATATTTTTTAATAGAAAGAATATCACTTATGAGACAATAATATTAAAAATACATCACTACAATATTTTTATTTTATGGCAATAGTTAGAAGCTGTTGTAACAGGTTGAAAAACCATTATCTATAGGCATAGGCAATGAGTTTTAAGCATGAAATCTGCCCTCATTACCTTTAATTTAAGGCAATAATTTTTCATATTTTAGACTATAAGTTATAAAACTGTTGCCTATAGTAAGACATTAGGCAATGATTTTGGGATGCTAAAATAAGCAATAGTTTTTACTTGTTACCTATGACATAAGTATAAGCAACACTTAAGAATTATTATGAAAATATTAAGTAAAAAAACATTATATATATAGATGTATAAAAGAATATAGATAAGCTATCAAATTTTGGATTTCAACCCTGATCCATTTATTTAAAGTAATGAGATGACTTTAACCGCTCTTCTAACATGACTTTTAATTATTATAATGCAAAAATTATATATATATATATATATAATTGTTATATTAAATTTTAAATTTTTCTAATTAATAAAAAATAAATTAAGAAATTAAAATAAATAAACAAATAAAAGAATATAGATAAGTTATAAAAAAATAAAAATAATTTTTTATTAATAGAAAAATTAATAGGCAGCGGTTTTTAAATATTGCTAAAAAAATATTTATAAGCAACATTTATTTTTTTGTTGCCTCTTAAAATAGAAAATAATTTTAAAATGTTGCAAAAAAAAGTGTAATTATAGGTAACAATTTTTTATATTATTTATTTGAAAATTTTATTGTAACACTTAAAAATTATTATTTATTCTACTTTAAAAAATAATTTTAAAATGTTACTAAATATTTATTACTTAAAGTAGATAGCCATAAAAATGTTGCTTATATTTACATTAGGATAACATTTTTAGAACTGTTGCAATTAAAATTATTGTTTAAAGTAAACAATGTTGCAGTGCATTATACACAGAAGCACTTCAATGCATGCAAAAAAAAAAAAAAGTAACGGAGAAATTTAAGAGAAAGTCATTAACATAAATTAATTAATTAATTAATTAACTCTAACAGCAAGTCATTAATTAATAAAAATATAAAATACCGTATGATTACATTAATAGCATGTTTATGTACGTACCATTAACAGGACCGTGACTATACTGAGTTACTGAGTGAGAAGTCAAGTTCAAGCTCTTTTATTTTATTTTATTTTATTTTGAGCAAAAGAAAGTGCTCTTTTGTTAATTATTATCACATTTCCCTCCTTTCCACTACGAGCCATAATTATAATTTCTCGTAGATTCTTCATCACTTTGCATCAACTTCTACTTTTCCTCCACCCCCCATTGTCTTCCCCACATTTCATCTTCAGCCTCATTCTCACTCTCACTGTATCACACAGACACGCAGCCTCACTTTTTCCCCTGCCCTTGCCAATGGATCCCAACAACAAGCCACAGAAGAAGAAGTGCTTTCTCTCACTTGTTTTCTCTCTCCTCCTATCCACTTTCCTCATCTTACTCTCCGTCTCCGTCTCCTCCAACCCATCCTCTCACTTCAATCCTTCTTCTCGGAGCGTCGTTGCCCATGAAAAGCCGCGTTTCGTTGAATCCAAGCTTCGCGTGTCCCCCACGTCCGCCGACCCTGTTCCCAGAATCGCCTACTTGATATCTGGATCAGTGGGAGATGGCCGGAGTCTCAAGAGGACACTCAAGGCTCTTTACCATCCGAGAAACCAGTACGCCGTGCATTTGGACCTCGAGGCCTCCGAAGAGGAGAGGCTGGACTTGGCTAAATTCGTCAGAGACGAGCCCGTCTTCGTGAGATTCGGGAACGTGAGGATGGTAGTGAAGGCTAATTTGGTTACGTATAGAGGACCCACCATGGTCACTAACACGCTTCATGCGGCGGCTATTTTGCTCCGGGAAGGTGGAGATTGGGATTGGTTCATTAATCTCAGTGCTTCCGATTACCCGCTGGTCACTCAGGACGGTACGAATTGCTCTGCTCTGCAAAATTTTTCTTTCGTGAATTGTTGCTTTGCTTGAATTGAGGGATCACTTTCTTCTTTTTGTTTCTTGTGTGTGCGCTTTTCCTTTGGAAATTGATTCAATTCAACAGGGCTTCTTCTTCTTTTTTTTTTTTTCCCCTTTCTCCCCTCTAAAGATCAAGACAACACTCGATTCTGGGATTTATTGAAAATCTTGTGCTTCTGAATTTAATGCCGTTTTGTTGGGGCTTGAATCCGCCAGAATCCTGAATTACTAATTGTTTCTTTCTATTTTTTGGACAAAACATTATTACTAATTGTTTCTTAATTAATGTTTTCCAACACTTGGCTTATTAATTAATTACCTAAATGCATTAAAGATTCACCGTATAGTTGTCGGTGCACTGCTATCTCTGTCCCTTGGAACTTGGAAGCTTTGATGGTTAGCTGAGTCTTGTTTGACTCAGGTACTTCCGGTTCGGTATGGTAAGAAAGGTTTTTAAGCATGTTGAAATTTATTTGTAAAATGTTTAAATTTAAATACCTTAAATATTTAATGCTCTGACGGTTTTAAATACTCCCTCTCTCTTAAATTATAAAACATTTTTAAATAAAATTTTAAATATTAATAAATTTCATTAAATACACTTAACAATTTTATCTTTTTAAAATAAAAATATAAATTTTTAAAAATATCTATCATTTAATATATTAAAAAAAAAAGAACGAAAATTAATTATAGAAAGAGAAACAATAATATTAAAATTGATATATTTAATAAAACCTTAATCTACTCAAAATGTGTTATATTTTGAAATAGATAAACTCATTTAAAAGTGTCATATAATTTGAGGTGAAGGAAATAATATAGATGGGGATAGGATAATTTTTTTTTATGCACGCCTAACTTAAATGTTTTATAGATAAATTTCGCGGCCTTATAGTATTAATTTGAATGACTTCTTTTGCGTAACAGATCTGCTACATACACTCTCAACCATACCGAGGCATCTTAACTTCATTGAGCACACCAGTGATATTGGCTGGAAAGAGTACGTTGCTAACTCTTTTCAGATTTTGTTCACTGTATCTAATTTCTTCAAAATCACCGTGCTGTTAAAAAAAATTCAAAATGACCTGATCTTATTTACCAGTTAAAAGTTTACCATTTTCAATATAGGCATCAGAGGGCCAGGCCTATTATTATCGACCCAGGTCTTTATAGCGTTCATAAATCTGATGTATTTTGGGTGACACAGAAAAGAAGTGTGCCCACTGCTTACAAGCTGTTTACAGGTGAGAAACCTGGTCTCTGATGTCTCTCATTTTGACTCCGCACTACCCAAAAAGCAATAAAAAAGAGAACTTGATCGATTGAATTCAATTAATTGTATAAATCCAAGGACTTTGCTTCTTGATTTTGCTCAGGTTCTGCATGGATGATGCTGTCTCACCCATTTGTTGAATACTGTTTGTGGGGTTGGGATAACTTGCCAAGGATAGTCTTGATGTATTACGCCAACTTCTTATCATCACCTGAAGGATATTTCCACACAGTTATCTGCAATGCTGAGGAGTTTCGCAACACAACTGTGAACCAGGATCTCCATTTTATATCATGGGACAACCCTCCAAAACAGCATCCACATTTCCTTACAGTTCATGATTACCAGAGAATGGTGAACAGCCATGCTCCTTTCGCAAGAAAATTTGGCAGGAACGTACCAGTACTAGACAAGATTGATTCTGAGCTCTTGGGCAGGAAGGCGGATGGATATGTGCCTGGTGGTTGGTTGAGACAGACAAATTCAAACATCACTAAACCAGATTCTGTTGTGAGAAATACTACTGATCTTAGGCCTGGTCCTGGTGCTGAGAGGCTGAAACAGCTCATCAATGGTTTGTTATCAGCAAAGGATTTTAAGGCAAAACAGTGTCCATGAAAGCTGGGTTCGGCAAACCCTCCTTTCCATTGCTCAGAAGCAAAATGCCAAGTCATCTCTTCATCAGGTCGCTCTGGGATCATCATCACATGGTAAGAATGATAGAACGCAACAGAATAATGAAATGACTGTTTCTCTGCAAATACACTTTACCGATGGCCGACTTTACTCACACACATTTGGTATACTACCACAAGTTTGGGGTTATTATGTATCAGATTGCTTCATACGATATTCAGGAATTTTTACTGGACTACTAGTACTACCAGTCATCAATAAAATTTTATTATTCTGAATAATGTCTTGATAGCAAATGAGAAATAAGAGAGTTCAATTTTTTTTTTTTTTCTGGTTACTGTATTGCTGAGCCTGCAAGAAGAAGATTGGGTACCCTGTGACCGTGGATTGCCTGGATTGCTAGCTCTATTATATTATAACGGAGAAAATAATTAAATACTACTTAAGTTAACTATATTCATTTTTTACTTTTACTCTTTATAGTTTATTTTTATAATTTCTCATTCTTTTTATTTGTTTTATGAAATTTTAGTTCGTTTAATTTTAAAAATAATCTAAAAAGATCATAAGTTAGCACAAATAATGGTAAATTTATTAAGGTTGACTTGACACTATTAAACTCATTAAATGATTAGAGAGAACAACATGATAACTTGAAATATAAAAAATGCTCAGTTCATGGGCACATAAAAATTTTAGTTAGAGATTTGTTGGATTCTCAAATAGGTTTTGTAGCTTTATATGTCCTGAAGAACCTTAGGGATGCAAATGTAGAATTGATTTAACGGTTCTACCTCAGCAAAATTAACACTGTTCAGGCCAACTCATGGTTTTTCCGAGTATTTTCTAATTAAACTAAAACAACTAATATTTCACACAAAGAAAATAAAAATAATAAAAATATATATGAAAATAAATTATAAAGACAAAAAATAAAACAAAATTAAAATATAGTGACCTGGATTTTTTCTATTACAACGTAATTTCCCCATTATACCTCTAAACAATAGTAGGTATGAAGCCAAGAGCCTTGTGGGTGCACATGTTCTTAAAGACAATAGAAGAATATGCCTAAAGTGATACATTGGCTCTACAATCAGGGGAGAGATTCAGTCTTCCTTCCCGTATTCTTTCTCTCCTTATTTTTTTTCTCACCATTAATTAACATTTAGACAATGTATATTCGATCTCCTATAAATAATTATTAAAATATTAAGAAATATAAATAATAAAATTCAAGCTGTTAAATTTTAATATGAATAATTAAAAATTCAGAAAAATAAAATAAAATAAAATATTTTAAAGAGATCAAATTTAGATCGTCTAAATGATGATTTAAATTGTTAAAAATTAAATAAAAAAAAGGCAAGAAAGAGGAGAGAATCTTCCCCTACAATTATGAATTGAATAGAATTTATGGGAAAAAAGGATTAAAATTAAATAGAATTTATCTATGATATACTATGTAGTGAACATCTTTTTTAATAATAAATATTAAATACAAAAAAAATAATCACAAGGAAGTCATTTTCTCTTATATTCCAAAATCATTTTTATCATCATCATCATCATGAAATATCAGCACATGATGAATTATTTTATCAATCAAATGATTAACTTTATGTTTATTTATCTATTTATTTTCTAAACAAGCAGTGCCCTCCATAAGTTTAAAAGGATGCTCAATATTTATCGGACACTATCAATCAACTTTTAGACAAGCACATTGGATCTCGTCCCGTCGATTAATTGAAAAAAAAAATGCTTTAATCCAAAACAATAATGATGTGAGGCCCGTCATTGCCCTTTGGCATCCTATTTCTTTCAAAAATATGTTTTTTTAAAAAAGAAAAAGAAAACATGTTTTTAAAAATGTGATCAACAAGATGACAGGACAGCCTTTCACTCTCCTTAGTCGTTTGTATTACTGTTTTCATGAGATGGACGGGTAAGAGATTAGGGTTACAAAAAAAGTAAAATAGCATTTATTAAAAAAAAATTGACCTTACTTTAACAGGCTCAATACTTTAAAATAATATAACTAAAATTACAGCTAAGTCAAGATAGAAAATATTATAAAAACTCGTGAAAAATATAGAATCAAAAGTTATGTTTTTTATAAATATTATTTTGTTTGTTAAAAAATATAAAATATTTTTTAAATAGTTATATATTCTAAAAATGTAAGGTATTTTTAATCTTTTAAAATATAATTATTTTTTTTTTTAAAGTGTTTCTATTAATAAATGACTTTATATTTATTGTACGGTGTTTAATAAAAATAAATATGAAAAAATATAATCCTATACTCTTCATGAGTCGAAAATTTCCCAAAAATGAATTTGGTGGGGCAAATGAAAAAATTTAGAGGGGAAAATCTACTTCCCCTCTTGAAAAGCTTATTCCCATGATCCCATTAGACATCCTCTAAATTCACCATCTTGAGAAAAGAATCAAGCAACTTACATATTTCTGGCGCCTGTGGATGAGATTGATCACCAGCATGAAACTCTTCAACTACATTATTTACTTCTATTATGCTACATCCAGGTTTCTTTTTCATTCCTGCTTCTGATATCATCTTCCTCACCCTGCTAGCCTCTACATCCCACCCAGCTTCCTTGTATATATTGTATGACAGAACATGAGTTCCACTGTCAGCTACACCCATATCAACCAGCTTTTTCCACACTCTGTTTCCAATGTCCACGTTGTTGTAAATTCTACATGCATTTAGAAGAGCACCCCACACATTGGCATCTCCACCTGCAAGTCCACCCATCTTCTCTTCAATAAAATTCTCTGCTTCCTCCATCATGCCTGCTCTGGATAAAAGGTCAATGACACAAGCATAATGCTCTGCCCTGGGTTTAATCCCATAAACAATGTTCATTTCTTCAAAAAATTGAAGGCCTTCCTGAACCATCTTTGCATGTGTACACGCAGTGAGGACTGCCACAAAAGTAGTCTCAGAGGGCTTAGTCCCATTTATAGCCATTTGATGAAATAGTTCTAAAGATTTGCTTGCATCACCATTCAAAGCAACCCCAGAGATCATAGCATTCCAGGCTCCAGTATCCTTACACGGCATGGCCTCGAAAACAGATAAAGCTGAACCAACACATCCACATTTGGAATACATATCCACTAAAGCTGTGGCCAGTATAGGATTTGACTCCAAATTGAATCGCTTGGCATAAGAATGAACCCACAATCCTTGCACGAGTGCACCAAGATGAGCGCAAGCAGTGAGTACGGTTACAAGGATTGACTCATTTGGCTTGTTGCCTGTGTTCTGCATTTCTGAGAACAAAGCAAGCACCTCCTTGAAGTTACTAACTCGAGAGTATGCTGCCATCATTGCACTCCACGATATAACATTTCTTTCAGGCATTTCATCAAACAGTTCTCTAGCGCTTTGTACATCCCCCATCTTGCCATAACCATCGATCATCGCTGTCCATAACACCACATCTTTTCTCGGAATTTTATCAAACAACAATCTTGCAGTTTCCACTTCACGAGCATTGGAGTAAAATTCAATAAATGCACTGACAACAAAAGGATCATCACAGTAACCAAATTTAATGACATGGGCATGCACCAAACGAACGGTTACATTCGAACAACGATCTAACACAATACAGGCCTTAATCAGAGCCGGAAAAGTATAATTATTGACTGGAACGCCATTTTGCAACATCTCTAAGTAACATAATATAGCGGGAACGGGTGAATTTGCCTGAACGTACCCCCTGATCATGGAATTGTGCATGAAAGTATTACGGTGATCCAGGTTGGCGAAAATGGAGGAAGCGTAAGGTAAAAACAAGCCATCATCGGCGGTCGCAGCGACGAAGAGAAGCGGCGCGATGGCGTAGGGATTATGTGTGAGGTGGCATCTGAGAATGTGGGCATGAGTCTGCTTCAGTTGGTTCAAGTTCTTGCACTTTTGCGCCAGGGCCGTCAGAAATCCGCCGTTCTTAACGGTTTTTTGAATCATATGTGAACCAACGTGGCATCTACAACAGATCAATTGGTATCCTAAATTTTGCGGAGCTTTCTCTTCCTCCTTTGGATTTTTATTTTTGATTTACTTCTCATTGAATCCGTCGACACTTGCTGTTGCACATACATATACATGCATTGCATACAATATTATTATTATATATACACAAATCAGGTGACCATCTAGCTAGAAGCAGTGGAGAATTTTTATTTTGTTGATATGGACGATGATTTTAATTCTACTTCAGTTTCACATTTTTCATCAAGAAAATTAAAATTTCTTTCTGTGTTTAGATAGGAGGAAAATGAGCCAATAACATATTGGTCCAATGACACCTAACATTCCCTTGAAAGAGAGTTGTAGGTTTTATATTCAATATCGAGAAGACGTGAGTGTGTTTTACTCTTCCCTTGAGTGAAGGATCATCCTTCCGGCCTTTTCTATAGAAAAAGTGATAGATATGTAGGTGTTTGCATTTGAACCATTTAAAAAAAAAGAAAATTGAAGGAAAATGGAGAACAGTAAAGGAAGGAAAGATGACATGAACCACGATGAAAGCCAAAAAAGGTGATAAATTTGAATTAGCAATTAAAAATTGGTGGAGAAATACAATATTTTGTTGCTATATTTTGAAAAATCATATCATTCCATACACAATATCTAGCAGTTGCCTTTTGCTTCTTCCTATGGTTTTAGATGAGAATTCAGAATTTTCAAGCTTTCAACACTTTTTAAGTGTTAATTTTTATTACTGGTCGTTGTAAAAAAAGGGTGATCAGAATTTAACATTTTTGCATGAGAAAAATAATATTGGTTATAAAGAATTCATATGCATTCAATGTAACACCTAGAACTTGTTGATCTAAATTAAAACCATTCAAGATAATTGCTTTCAACGCATGTTCCCCCCTAAAAAAAATGTAAAGGTGTTATTGAGTGTCATTGCAAAAGCCTAATGCTTGGTCTTTATTACGCATAGGCATAGGCACATTGAGTATTTCAACTTCTAAAATAAGTTTATATGGAAGCAATCTAAATATACAAATCCAGAACTAAAATAGCTTCACATTTTTTTTATTAGGAGAACCATACCAAATACCATTTGACCATGAGTTTTTCAAAAGAGTAAAAAATTTTCATAGAAACCATTTGTGGAGTTAAATTGATAGCACCAAAAAAAAAAAAGAAAAGAAAAGAAAGAAGAGGAAACCAAGTGTGCAGATATGAAGAATTTTATTCATAAAGATGAAGAGAGTTTCACATCAAATTCTCTCCATCACTCTCGTGCAACTTTGACAATTTTCTTGCCAATGTTGTCCCCATGGAAAAGTCCAATGAAAGCAGAAGGGATGGTCTCCACTCCAGATGAGATGTCTTCAAGATTCTGCAATTCCCCACTACGAAGGTGATCCGATGTCTGTGACACAAAATCTGCAAAAAGGTTCAAGAAATCAGCGGCCAGGAATCCTCTGATGTTGATTCTCTTGTACACAACGTTGAGCATGTCTGGTGCAGCTCGCTTCTTTGCATCAGTGTACTCAGATATCACCCCACACACCGCCACTCTTCCAAATGCATTCATGTTATCCACCGCAGCCTCCAACATGTCTCCACCAACGTTGTCAAAGTATATGTCTATCCCGTCTGGAAAGTACCTGAAATGAAATTCATCATATCTCTGTCAGTATCATTGTCAAATCATATACTCCCTTTTCATCCTATATATTTATTACTCATCTTCTAGAACAAATTGATGGTCCTATATATTAGTGAATTTGCATAAAAGTTGAAGTATTAATTATCTTCTTTTCAACCACATATTTTATTCCCAATTTCCTAGAAATCGTTTCTTTTAAATAGGGATAAACTAGGGGGGAAAAACATTTTCAAACCATTTTAATAATTTAACCACTTTTCTTTTCAGTGAGATATCTAGAACGAACTTGTATTTAAAAATGAATATAGTAAGTATCTACTAAACACTACGTTACTTTTTGAGAGCAGATTTTAAGTCTGTTTCCTCTTTGTAGTTGAATGCATCATCAAATCCCAGCTTGTTTTTCAACAATTCCACCTGAAACAGGTTACTTCCGCATTAGTTTTGTAAGCTAAAAGGGGCAATTTACTTAACAAAACAGTAATACATGGCCATGACTGAAAGGAAAAAAAAAGTCTAAATTTTTCAAACAAGATGGCCCAATCAGCTCAAAGATAACCTTTTTCTGGCTTCCAGCACAACCAACCACATAGCAACCAAAAAGCTTTGCATATTGTCCTGCCAAACTTCCTACAGATCCAGAAGCAGCAGATACAAATACTTTCTCTTCTTTTCTGGGTTTGCACACCTCAAAGAACCCAGCATAAGCTGATAGTCCATTGAACCCTGCCATAGATAGTTATAAGAAAGAAAAATTAATGCTTCACAACAACTAGTACCAACACACATCAGTAAAATTTCACGCAGCAGATGTAATTCCAGGGAAGTTGTCCACTCATCTCCTTTCTTTAATATAGCTAACTAACCCTTGTTTTAAGGGACAAAGTCCCACAATTGAGCCTTAAGATACTAAGATTCTTTATGCTGTTATGAATAATGTGATTCAAATTGATGGTGGGATTTAGGCCCAAAAAAAAAAAATTGATGATGGGAAAAAAGATACCCAGAGCTCCAATATGATAAGTGAGTGGAAACTCAGAATTGTTAAGTTTGTTAATTATGCTTGCTTCTTTAACCAAACTGTACTCAGCCCAAGTGAATACTCCTACAACCACATCATCCTTCTGATACTTGGGATTCCCAGAAACCACCACTTTGCCAATGGCTATACCGTCAATTGCCTGCAAATGCAATGCATATCCCGGTGTCATTCATTAACAAAGCCATTCCAAGTCATACATGTAGATTTGGTCTTGAACTATATATCCATATAAATAAATTCAATGAATGATAATCAGCAGAGTGCGCGCGCGCTATGTAACCTGATTAGGGGTGATGGGGGCTGCGAAGTTAATGGATTTCTGAGAGGAGCTATGGCTCTTCATGCGATTGATCTGGTAGGGGTCAATGGAGATGTAGAGATTCTTGACGACGATGTCGTCAGAACCAGCCATAAGTGAAAGAGATAAGCTCTCAGTTTTGAGCTCGAAGTGTGACTCTTGTGGTGCATCTTCTATGTGATTCTTTATCACTGCGAACCTGTTGCTCACTTCCATTATTTCTTGTTCTTCTTCGTTGTGCTGCATCAGGGCGGTCATTTGCTTATTTCCATCGACGAAACAGAAACAGAGTAAACGACAGTTCGCCTGCTCTGGTCAATCTAAAAGGTTAAATGAATTAAAAACCGCACAATGATCTTTTTTTTTTTTTAATACAAGGCCACGATTTTGTCAGTTGAATGAAAGATATGTGAGCAAATCGACCCACATGCTACATTTCCAAATGTGGAAATATATTGGCAAGATACTATAACTTCATCGGAAGTAATACTCTGCCATTTCAGTTTTATTGGCACCGAAATTTTTTTCCACTTTTCTGTTAAAATTGAGGCACAACATAATCCTTATAATTTTATCATCTTTTGCATTAATTTCTGCAATTTTTTTCACGTTTTTAATCCCCATAATTTTTGAAAGATTGATTACATTTGTTTTCCAGGTTTTTATAATTTTATTTTTCTTAATATTTTTAGTCTTTGTAAGAATTAAAAACATTAAAAAAATATAAAAACTTAAAATTATGCAGATCGATAATTATATTTTCTTTAAAATTAACATGCGTATTTTTTTTGTCAAATCAAGTTACATATAGAAAATCACGGAAAAGTCCCATGCAATCATTCTAACCACACAGAAGACCTCCTAAATGTTCAAATCACTGTGTGGTTTCCGGGAACTTGATTGTAAACAAGATGTTTTGTTAATTTACTAAAATGTTCATATTTTCCAAAAAAAGAAAGAACACACACACACAAAGATCTCCATCCCTCCCTCCCTGTTTTTTCTGATAAGCATCTTTACCTCCCTAGCTCTTGGCATCTTCCTTCTTCTTGAGGATAGACATGTATCGTCTTGTTGGAAATCAAATTTGGCAGAATTTAGCAGACCAATGAAGCCGCCGCTAATGCCCTACGCATGAGAGTCGAGCAAGCTTGAGCCCGACGTGAGGACGACCCTAGACGCGCCAAAACCGACAAAAACGACACCAACGACTCAATCGTTGCCCCACAAACGGTTTATCAACAATTATATTAAAGTCTCAAGAATTAATCACTTTAAAATTTATTAATAATTGAACTAAGTTACATTCACAATTAATCCCATATAAATGAATTAATTACTGCAAGATTCATTAACAATTGAACTAAATTGTATTGTTAGTTCAGTTGTCAATAGCCCTGCAGTAATTAAGTTCCACATGTCATGCAATTTAGTTCAGCTGTCAATGGACCTTGTAATAATTAATTTTCTTGTGTGGGATCAGTTGTCAATGTAGTTTAGTTCAATTGTCAATGAATTTTGTAGTAATTAATTTTCTTGCGTAGGACTTCATGCAATTTAATTTAGTTGTTAATAGACCTTACAATAATTAATTCTCTTGTGTGGGACCTAACTATAATTCTCCCATCATCAAAATCCAATTTAATTACATGCAATTTAGTTCAATTGTCAATAGACCTTGCAGTAATTAATTTTTTATGTGAGATGTAACTATAATTCTCCCATCATCAAAATCCAATTTAATTGGATATCATCCTTTTAAGAGTGGTTAAATTTAAATCATCAAATTCGATTTAATAGTATATCGTCCTTTGTAAGGAAGGAATTTCAATTCCCAACCCAATCCAACTTCTCTCCTCTCCTCAACACACCTTCATAAGATCTGTGGACCGTTCAGATTCCCTCTCCTACATATTATCTACATGTCCTCGAAAGATTTGAATCATTTCCAAATTTAAATATTTTTATTTTTATTTTATATTTATTGAAATAAAAATTTTAATAAATTTGTTTAGATCACCCATCCCATCTGCACACCATAAATTTAATATCAATGATTTAAATTTAATATTAATTTTTTATAATTTTAATAAATTGACTATGCAAATTTACGTTTAAATTTTAAAATTTCAATTTATAATTTTTTTAAAAAAAGGAAAAATTTATATACTTATGTTTGTTTTCAATTAAATCAAGACAAATATCTTTTATAGATTATTTATTCTTTAACAAATTGTTGTTATTAATATTATTAATACATTAAAATTCACATGTTTTGATTTGATTGAATAAAAATATATTAAGAATATAAAATTTATTATATGAGTCTTTCCATTTTAAAAAATATGTTTTGGAGAATGCATTTTGGAATATTATCTTTATTTTTAATATTGCATTACCAAATTATAAATTTATAAAAATTATAAAAATTAATATTAAATCTGAACGTGAATTGCAGAGTTATTTATAGTCATTATCAAATATTTTAATATCAAATTTAGACTATTTGTATTAAATTTGAACTAGTTTATAAATATAAATAAAAATTTCTGGACAAACTTCGTCTTATTTTAGTGCAGCGACGGAAAGTCAGGTCCCTAAATCTAATCCTCTTCAGCTCTATCTCACATCACAACATGAATATGTGTGTGCGTAATATTAATATTATAATTGAATATCATTAATAAATATAATTGAAAATTATTAACATATATCATATAATATGAAAACTATAAAATACATCTTAAAAACAACTTCTAGTTTATTTATGTAAGTTTATATTTCTCATATTAATTTAAATATATAGCATATAAGAGAAGTAAGAAATAAGTATCGTAGAAGAGTTAATGCACATCAGCATAATATGATTTAAAAATCCATGAAAATATTTGCCAACCATTAACTTGGTCATTGCCAAACCCATTATGTTTCAGTATATATATTCTTAAACTGTACGTATTATTACTTAGTTGAAAAGAACGATTTTCGGCGAAGCTTGAGGTTCATGGTTCAGTACTGTCAAATGGAAGTAGCGGAGACGTAAATAATTCATGGTTAGGTCCATCCGGCACCAAATTGATTAATGTGCCGCCTTCATCCCTCTAAAGATATTATCGAAGATGTTAGCCTTTTATATTATAGGAATTGAAGCTTATATATTAAACTTACACACAGAGACTTTAATTTTTATGTTGACTTCTTAGTTAGATTATTTTATATGTTAGATATCAATTTTAGTGCCTTTAATTATTCCTCACCTCTTTTTCAAGAGGCAATAAATGATGAAAATGATTAATTAAAAATCCTGTTTGATATAATCTCTTTTGATTTGTATGATATTTTATATTTAACAAGGAATAAAGAACAATTTTTACAGAGTCCATTTATTATTACAATAAAAAAAATAAAATGGTCATATCATAGGTAAAAAATTATTAGCGTATGTAAGAGGGGCATGTCCTATTTATAGGATATCTTTTGAAAATAATTTTTGGATTAAAATATAAAATATTTTATAATAAAAATTAAACTATTTTTTTAATTTTATTATTTTTTAATTAAAGTAAAAAATATTTAATATAATTGTATAATTATTTAAAGTTAAAAATGAAAATAAAAGTACATATTTTTTATGATATAAAAAATTAAATTTTTTAACATATGTAAAATGATTAAAATTGTGTTACAATAACAAGGGAGTATATAGATTCTATACTTGCTGTAGCATTTGGGTTGGAGAGAAATTCAGAGGTAAAGATTCAAATTTGATAAAAATGACACTAAATTCAGACAAAATAGAATCATGACGCCGGCAACGTCTCGCTTGCCTTGATTCCTTTGAACAAACGCTTGATGTTCGCACCCACGTAATTACTTTAATCATTTTTTATTAAAATTTATTTAATCATTTAAATCGCTATTTGGTTATAAATGCGTTTACTTCGTCCCGTTTAAAGCTAAAGACACAAATTAATCTAATTTAATTCAATAAAAATTTGTGTTAATATTAGCCACACAATAGACTACCCAACTAATTTGGAAGTGTTTGTATGTATGTATATAAGATCCGTAATAAGAGTCGAGCTTGAATGGTCGAATTTGAAAGCCCTATTTAGATGAAAATTCAAGTTTAAAAAATTTGGTGGTTTTTTTAAAAAATCAAGCCTCTAGACCCAAATCTTGAAAAAGAAGCTTGGACTCAGGTGACTTTTGAAGCCTTAAAGATTAATGATTTTTTAAATATTATATTGTCAAAATAATTAATGTTGGTTCTTTTTTCATTTATTTTAGCAAGATATTGACAGATTTTTTATTAATTTTTTAAACATAATTACTTTGTAATGTTTATTTTTTGGTTTTTATTAATATTATACTCTGTGATACACAAGTTTTTGCATTTATTGAATTTAATAAGGTTAATCTAAATTAAAAATTTTTATTTTTATTTTAATACTTAATTAAGATTTTATATATATATATTTGTATTTATTTATATTATTAAATTTTTTTATTTTTTTGAAAAAAGGCTTACTTGATTCTAAGCTCTTCAAATAAAGATTGAATTTTAAAAATCCATCATTTTTTTTAAAAGTAAGCTTATGGTCCCAAGTCCCGCCCATTTTTTCACCTCATGTGTGTATGTATGTAACTGTTTTAATTATAAATTATAAAGTTCAACAATTATAGAAAACTGTCAGCTTGAGAATGGCGTACTAAACCTTGCCGAACTGCCATCATACAATCCATATAGTAATGTTGATACATAAAGACGGAGAACTTGTGCTGGCCAAAAAAAAAAAAAACAGAACTTGTAGCTTCTCTCTCCCTCTCACTCAGTCACGTATTTGACTCTATGAGATCCAGCAAGAGTTGAGGCATCTTCATATATGATGGACAGAAAATTCAATTAGTATCCACCAAGACTTGTACCCCATCACTTTTTTAAAATGTTAAATGAAATAAAATAGAAAAAAGGACAGTAAAATTCATTTGAAATATATAAATAATAATTTAATCCTTCACAAATGTCATAATTTCTATAAAGTTTTAAGGAGTTTTTCTATTATTAATGAATTTATATAAATTATCAAATTACCTTTATTAAAAATAAATGATTCATAATTTTTTTTATATTTGCAATAATGTAACAATAAATTATAACTTCACATATTAAATTCCTTATTTGTTATTACATTGTTATGAATATAAGAAGAAAGGTTGCGAATATAAGTATGAAAGTTATAAATTATTTATTTTTAACAAAGGCGATTTGATAATTTATATAAATTCATTAATGATAAAAAAGTCTCTAAAAATTTTAGAAGGATTATGATATTTTGAGAGATCAAGTTATTATTTATATATTTTAAATGAATTTTATTATTATTTTTTTAATAAAATATTGCACGCTGAATTTGAGGGGGCCGGCAAACTTCTTGTTGGAAGTTAGAAGGGCTTCTTGGTTATGAATGTCTCTTCCGATACGAAATGAATAATGGTGAAGAAAGGGATTAAATCAAGGAGAAAACTTGTAAAGGGATGAATGTTTCAGCCAAACCGAGTACAATAATCATTTTGCTACAATAAAATCAGTGCCTCTTGTCAAGCACATTGATCTCTTAGTGTTCGTCCCCCTCTGAGCTTCTTTCTTTTTCTTTTGCTTTTTGGTATTTTACTAATGTGGTTTCTGGAAGTTTTTTTTCGACGAGAGAGAAAGCATGACAGGAGAAGGAGGAAGAGCCGGGTGATGAATACTCCGTCATTTTTTTATATATATAAAAAAAAAATATCACATAATTTAAAAAAATTAATGAACTATAATAATTATGTTTGAAAATAAAGGAATCGCACTAAAATATTTCATATTAATCAACATAAATATGCATTAATTATTTTTTTGTAATTTAAATTATGAATAATGATTTAAAAAATTTATAATAAATGTGATGGACCTCATGGCACAAATGACATGGCATTAATAACAACGAAACTTGATAATGGTAATTATGAGCATGGTGGCATAAAAAGAGCCCAAGGCAAGGAGCAGGAGCCCAACACTTTCAATCCACCATGCTAAAAGACCCTTTACAACATATTAGATGTCCAATGACAAGAGCCCGAATTAAAGCCATGAAGCAAACCTTATTTAGTCTTGTGTAAGAAGTCTAAGGCCTCGTTTGGTATGATGGAAAAGTTTTTGATGGAATCGGAATTGGAATTGGAATCGGAATTAGAATTAGAACAGAATTGAGTTATAAATGTATGTTTGGTATGAAGATGGAATCTGAATATAATATTAATAAATATATGTATTTAAAATAGATAAAGACCAAAATGCCCTTATAAAAAAATAAAAAACTCAACCATCATGATGGAATGTGTATGTGGGGCACTTATGACAATTCCATGGAATTGTGACAATTCTATCATGATGAAGATGGAATTGAATTCTAGGTATTTTGATAGAATTGGAATCCATAAAGAATTGGATTCATGCATACCAAACAAGTGAAAACATGATTTCAATTCCAATTTCATTTCTCTTGGACCCAATTCTAATGTACCAAACATGACCTAAGAGTTTGGAGAACATTGAAACACTCCTTTCAAGCCTAAAAGAAAGCCTCTAAGCATGTATAATGTGCTTAGGATTCAAATCCACAAAGAGTCAAGTCCAAGAAGTGCAAATCCTAGCCCAATATAAAGAAAACTATAAATAGAGCCTCTTGCAAGTAAGAATGCACAAAATATAAGTGAAGAAGTCAATGGTGTCGTGATTTTAAATCTTTTATAATCCCTTGATTGTCTCCTTAATTGCTTCTTATTTTAATGGTCCTTTGACTTGACTCCCTTTTCTTAAAGAGCAAGACTAGTTATAGTTTTCTATTTTGAATCTAGTCAAAGATTAAGATTAATTATATTATTTTTAATTTTTAAGTTTTGTAATCCCATAATTTTAGAATTACATCTCCTAAATTATGTGACTGAATATTTATTTTATATTATTTTCTTTCTCCTTTTAGTATTAGAAAATTAGGATTTTAATTTTAAAAAATAGTCTTCTCTATGAGCCTATATATATTAAGCATGCTTTCTCTTGTAAATGAAAAAGAAGTTGAATGAAATTATTTATTTTAGAGTTTATAATCCTTGTGAACTTTAGTACTTTATGATGGCATCTCATGTGAAAAACAAACGTAATCAAATCTTGTGATTTCTTCAAAGGTTGAAATTTTTAGAGGCAGGTGCTTTAAAAAATCTTATCCTTAATCATTATCCCATTATTTATTACATTTCTTTCTTTATTCTTATCATAAATTTTATCTTTTTCTTTTTATTTTTATTGTGTTTTAGGATTCTGTTCTTAAATTAGCACGATTCTACTTCTGTGTCCCCTATCAAAATGCTTATCAAGATATGTAACTTTACTTATAAAAAAATTCAAAAATAATAATATTTCTAACAAATAAAAATAAAGAGAGGACTTGTATAGGGATATTTTAATATTTTAATATTATAATTATATTAATACAATAAAAATAATATCACCTTTTCACTGCCACGCCAAACATACTTTTTAATTTCAATATCATGCCTATTTCCATTCCTATTCGACTATTCCCATTCCCATTCCACCGTACCAAAACAGAACCGTGACGACAGCTCATATTTGGAAGGGTGAGCCGAGTGCTGAGAGAAGCGCAGACCGTCTTGCTAAGCAGCGGCCCATTATCAAAAAGGCAAAAAACGGCAAAAATCGCGCCAGGTTGGGGTCGAACCTACGACTTTCTGCTTAGGAAACGGACGCTCTATCCACTGAGCTACAGGCGCCGATCGGCGTTCTTGTATTTCAATAGTTTTACGTCGATTGCGTGAAAACACTTCCTCGCAGCCAATCCAAAAACCAGCGAGAGGTTCCGACCAGTTAGTGAACCTGTAGTGTAGTCACGATACTAGCATACAATAAGCGAAGTGCAAATCTTCGGTTAATATTCCGAGTTATGACATGGAATTGAACACGGAATAGTCATACAATGCACACTGTTGTTGTTGGCTTGCGCCATTGGTACACATGATCAGATCAAGTGCGTAGTCCAGTGACGAATTACATCATGATAATATTAGACGCAGAATCTCCCCCGACAACTTGAATGATTTTTCTGTTTCTTCCAGACAATGATTCTTCTCCTCCCGACTCCATCCCTGAAAAATAAAACACCAACCAACATCCATTCTCAGAATTCCCTCTAGAATCTCATTTTTCATCATAAAATCTATAACTGCATTATCACCAACTATGAACTATGTAAAAAGATTTCATACTTTTATTCTTTGGCTAGATTTTTTCACATGAGCAAGCTTCATGAAAATGAATCTCAACTTGATGTAAAAAATCTTATTTATTTTAATTTTCTTCCCCCAGGTAAAGAGTCCAGGGTCAAAGGAAAGGGCACAAGAAACTTACTTCAGCAACTTTATTCAACTTGTCTCTCACATACTGCAATAACTGCGAGAGATCACCATCCCATTTATAGAACTCCAACTCCTTGCAGTTGAGTATCTTTTCAGCTACCTATAGAGACAGATTTGAGATTTAAGATGATGGTCAGCATAAAATGTATCAAGTAAAATTACCTTCAGGTTTTACCTCTAATGGAGAAAATGATTATAAAATATCTGCAACTGAATAAAGCCTCCTTTCTAATTTGTGAGAACTACTCCTTGCTGGAACCACAACGTGCCCACACATAGTGGTGGGCATTGGGCAACCACGTCCGTGTAAATTGCTACTTAAATATTTCCCTCTCTCTATAACTCTAGAAATTTTAATTAACTACAAACTTGAGTTATGGAAGAACCTTGAAGTCAAAAAGTTTCCGTTAGAGCAGGAGTAAGACGAGATATTTGCATTATAATTTTAATAAGAAGTCAGCCAGCAGTAATTTGAAAGTAATGTTAGGAGATCAGATTATACCTTAAATAGAAAAGTTTAGATAACTATGAGCTGTTATACAACATAATGAAGAAATTGATAGGAATGTAGCACATAGGATGGAAGCTGAGTAGTTTAATTAGAAAAAAGCTAAAGAAGTTATTTGTAATTAAAAGTTATTTAATAGGTTTAAAGAGAAGTTTTATCGAACTACTATCAAATCAACTATGTTATATGATAGTAAATGTTGGGCTTTGAAAGGATAGCAATAACATAAAGTTGGAGTAGCGTATATGAGAATGTTAAGATAGATATACGGACATACACAAAAAGATAAAATCCATATATGAGAAAAGGTGAGCATGGCATCTATTGAAGAGAAAATGGTAGAGAATCATTTGAGATGATTTGGTCATATCCAGAGAAGGCCATGAGAGGCACCGATGAGGAGATTGGAACGAATAATCTTAAATCCTGTAAAGAAATGTAGAGAAAGACCAAGAAGTACACTTACAGAAGTGGTTAAACAAAACCTCCTAGTCAACAATATTCCTAAAAATTTGGTTAATGATAAAATATAATGACATCATGCAATTCATGTCACTCTCTACCTAGAAGAATAAGGCTTGTTGTTGCTGTATAACTCTAGATTTTGGAAATTCTTGTTATTAAAAACTTTGAACAGAAGTTATCTTCCAATGAAGAATTATAGTGACAGTGCATCAGCTATGTTGACATCGGACAAAATAGAAATGTGTCAGAAGATCTATTCCGTTTAAATCGAAGAAAACGGGGACATTCCAAGTACTTTGAAAACCTTAATTCCTACGGTTATCTTAAAATTTTATATCACCCATGGCCAACAATAGTAACAATGCAGAAATAAGAGATGACGTTATTCTACAGGGAAGGACCATGTGTAAAGATAATGATGATAATGATACTTTCCCCAACACCAACGCACCATATGATTCATACTACAAAAATTAGCATGATTGACACTTCAAATCTGATGTGCTGGTGAATTGATTTCATACAGGATATGAATTATTGACATAAATTGAAGAGGTTTTACATGAATGTGATTGATTACCTTCCTCCCAATCATTCGACCACCAGCTGTGTGGGCAAAGAAGATATTGTAGAAGTGACAAATGAAAGCCTGGGGATCCTTCTCTGATAACTCCTTAAGATAATTTGCATAGGTTAGACCAGGGGAAGATGGGTCGGGAATGGTATGGCCTTGTTCACGGAACCACTGCAAATCTTTTGCTAAACTTGCAGACCTTTCCAATCCTGTATTTCTGAATTCAGCATCTACAGAAGGAACAGGGAAATTCAACAAACTAACAGCCAATATAAAGGAAAATAGACATGCAACAAGGAACAGGAATTCATAAGTAATTTGCATGCTAAAGAACAGAGATCAACCACGGCACAGCAACAAACCTCAGAAGGCTGAACTTTGCATGAAAACAAACAAGTCCTTGACATCAAGAAGATCAAATATGCATGTGAAAATTCCTACTGCTTCTACATTTGCTTACAAATGTAATTACACACCCACCATATCTCAGTACCAAGACTAAGCATCACATAACTCTCAGCAGCCTAAAACAAAAGCAATTACTAACTGAGTGTGGAACCACTTGTCTCTGGAATACCAACTTTTAACCATTTCTATATAAAGATAAACAAACCAGGCTTTGATGCAGCTTTGTATGTATAAGCTAATTTTGGAGATATATGACAGGCAGAAATGCTTCCTCTAGGAGGCAACCAGGCACGAATTTTTTACACTATCAATGATGATGGAGTTTATCCCAGAAGAAAACGACAGCTATAAAAAATAATTTTTTGGTGAGGTGGGTAAAAGAAGGAAAATTACTCCAGACAAACTACTGAAGGTTGTCTAATTCATGATGATTTTCCAGGCTCACAGGAGGTAAGGCAGGCATTTATGAGGCTCACAGAATACCACCAGTGTATTTTGGAATAGGGTTCAGACTATGCATCAGACTTCAATTACAGTTTTTACAGGATTTAGAAATCATCAAAAACACAAAAATCAACATTTACAACAACAATCACCCTTATCCCACTAGGTGGGGTCGGCTATATGGACTGCATGACACCATTGTATTCTATCATTTAACAAAGATAAACATTTAACGCTGGTAAAAGCCTTGTAAGGATTCAGAATTTCTGAGAAGAGGAAATCTGAGAAGCAATGTTTCTCAACCAATGAATAATCCAATATAGACAACCACATTAACCACTCAGAGTGGTTGATATTTCTGTTCAGTAGATTTTGGAACTTGGATTTCTGGGTTCAACTTCTCCATAACGACACTACATATTTCCACATGATTCAAAATCAGTAAAAACAGTAAATAGAACCCTTTTAGAAATCTGATTTCTTCAACCATTGCCTCGTCGAAACCCCACAAATATTGCAAAACCCACAACATAAGAACAAACGTCAGACAAGGAAACAACAGGAAATTAATTACATTCGTCCCACATTAGTAAGCGGTCAAGATGAAGATGAGTGATAGCAACCAGATGGACAACTATGTCAACCTAAACCATGATCAACACACAGTTTCAGCCAATACTATTGAACCATCTTTCATCACACAACTAAAGGTCAACTCAATAGAGTACGAATCATAATAGCACATAGTATCATAAACAATCCAAAGGCAATGAAAATTAACTCAAAGCAGTAACTCACAATAAGGATAAGCAGCATCTTCAATTATCTTCTCCACTGTATCATAAACCAATTTGCTATCGACGAGAAACCTCAAATACCCATCAATTGTGGGTTCCCATTTGGTCACTGGTCGTTCCTCCGGTTCCTTGACTTCTTTCTCACCCTCCTTCGCCTGCTCTCGGGTATGCAACTTCATGGCCACAAACCTCATCTCCTCCACGAAACCCTTCGACTCACCCGGATAACGTTTTTTGGGTTTCTCAGCCGTTGTTGCAGAAACGATAGGCCTCATGGGCATCTTCGAAGTCCCACCTGGAGCCCGAATTTGCAAGGATAACCTTCTGGGCAAGAAAAAGGGGCCAAATTTTGGATTGCCGATGAAACTGGGTACAATGGAAGAATACTGACGAGATTGTCTGATACGGAGTTCGCTAAAGCGGGATTTAAATTGAGAAGCTGGGGCAAGAGAAGCCATGGGACTGTGCTCACTTGAATTCAGTCTGAGACTACAGAGGCGATGAGAATAAACCAAGTCAATTAAATTAAAGTAGTCTTGAAGACGCAATAGAAACTCCACCACAATAATCGCGTTGATGTTGTAAACTTTCGGTCAAGTAAGTGTGTGTGTGTGTGTGTGTGTTTATAAAAAGACGTTATCAATCTCCTGGTCTAGCGGATGAAAAGAATCTCCATTACAGAGTAAGGGAGTGAGGGTATCGTGTTCAAATGGTTCACCAAAAACAAGCAGCAAGTCAGCAACCACAACAGACTTATTTGATATGATTAGAGAAGAATAAGAGCTCGTGCTCTTCCTCATATATAAGATTCTTGTTCGTTTTCTGACTTCTGTTGATATTATTTACGGAAGGAATTGGGAAGATGTTTCTCGAAGCAGCGAAAGGTTGGAGATGCCTAACAAGGAATTAAAAAAAAAAAAAAGTTATGCCGATTTCTCTGGTCGACACTGTGCCAAGCAGGACGTCCCGGTTAAACGACATCGTTCTCCAAGATCATAAGTCGTTAGAGATCATGTGCATGGGCTGTTTCACACATCTCATGAAAACAAATCTCATCACAAATCATTATCAATAGTAAGTATATGAATATATGTAAACTTATCTCAAACTCTAATAAAGTTCTAGTTATGTTTAGTTGTTTACAGTAAACTCATGCATTTTACTGACATTATCACAGCTAATAATTGTTCAATGCTGGACAAGGGGGAAAAAAACAACTTAACATCTGATGCAATTCTTATAAGAGAATATTGAAATTTCCTTAAATTATTATTTAAAAGAAAAATAATTGTAGGTAAACAATAAAATATATTTAATTATAAACAAATTACACTTCGAATTTTTCCTAGTAATTTAAATATCTCATTTGAATTTTTCAACAGTGGAAATATATAATATTACTAAAGCCTATTTTTAAATTTTTATAAATTTTTTTTTTGGTATAACATGAGAGATAATGTAAACTTTAACGGAATTAATTTTTAGAGAAAATTTCAGGATCAATCAACCGGCCATATATATATAAGTTAAGCGAATCAAAAAGAAAGAAATAAATAAAATAAAATATTTTTCAGACATCCTACCAACAAAGTCGCTTTGGCCGAGTGGTTAAGGCGTGTGCCTGCTAAGTACATGGGGTTTCCCCGCGAGAGTTCGAATCTCTCAGGCGACGACGACCTTTTTGTCCTTTTCTTTTTTTTTTTTTCAGTTTCCGTTCACGCCACCCTTACCAGTTGAATCCCAGTGCACGTATCCCTCCTTGATTTTTACATCAGATCAAGAACATCAATCATATATCTCTTTTCTCGTTTTACATTTCATTCCGTAATGCCCATGTGTTGCCCCCCTGTATGGTTCCGGCTAGCCACTGCGAGGGTCAAGTTGAATGTTCAGAAACAAGCATGACTCTTTTTGGAGAATCTGAATCTCTATATAAAAGATATGAGCTTTTATGAGGCAGACACAGACCGACATGGACCATGATTCTGCCATGTTTCAAGTGTTATCATGATCATGTGAGGCAGGATTATGCCAGGGGACAGCTTCACGAGCTGCCATGTCAATAACAGAGTCAATGGCCTTCATTTCCCAATCCTACGCGTGAAGTTTTTACATGAAGTCGTGACTGCTTCATCAGTTTTAGGTTGAATAATAAACTTAATGGAGTTACTTGATGTGATCGTGATGTGAGTGCAACAACGAGGCTTTTTCTCCTTCTTCTTCTTCTTCTTTTTTTTTGGGGGGCATGAGTGCAATAAAACGAGGTTGAGAACTAGCGAATTTGGAAACAAGCAGGGTCTTAGAAATGAAGTCTGCCGGTCCGTCCTATGCAGGTCATGAGCAATCATTAGAGGATTTAAAAAAAAAAAAAAACAAGAAGAACATTTAAAAATTACTTAATCTTCAGTTCGCATTTAGTTCTGAATTTCTTGAGCATGGTTGCGAAAATTATGCTGTTTGGCGATCACTTTTAACAAAACGTGGTTTGGACTTCAGAAGTATGGTTTTCGCTTTTCAGACTCCCAACATTTTTCCAAACAACAGAATTGTGCTAGCAAGGTTATATAAAAATATCTACGAATATCCAACACTTTAAAGTACGCTAATCCAAATGAAGGGTAGCCTGCCTCACAATTACCACCACATATATTTACAGATTCATCTAGGTCGAGAATTCTCCATCATAAAATTAAAATTTGTCAAATGCATTAAATTGCACGAAAATGCATCTAAAAAGAAAATCTTTAAACGTCTATAACTAACATTCAAGCAGGAAGCAGATACAGAGCATGTAGTTACATTACATACTGATACTTAAATATATAAGCGTTAGCAAAATGTCGAAACATGACTAATCCTATAAAGTGAAGAGGTTTTATTATCAGGAACCTATATGATTCTATTGATCCAACCAATTCCTTCTTTACATTTAGCATCTTACGTCTGTGTTAGTATCTAAGGCACGCGCATAACAGAGGCATCATTTTCAAGGAAAAAGAAGAGGGACGAAACCCATCCCACTGCTCTGCTTCTCAAAGTATGAAAGTAACCAAGCAGGTCACTTGGCTGTTTGTTCCAGAAAAGGTATTTTCTTCCATTTTTCTTCCAACCCACTCATTTGCAGTGGTGGCAGGGAAAACATGCTAACTGTAGAGCTTCCACTTCTAATCTCCTGCAAAACATGCAATGCTGATATGGTACTCTTCATATAGAGGCTCTCCATGTACTCAATCGCCGATAGTTCCTTCGGTATCAGTAGACCTTTACTCTTGGTCATAGCTGAACTTGAAGGATCACACCCTTCTGTTTGTGAAGTTCCCTCATCGTAGGCTGCAGGTTCATTTGCCGGAAAGAGGCGATCCAGCATTGACTCACATTCCTTTACAAGCTTGTAGAGCAGGTCAGTGGTAAAAAATGGCTGTTGCAATACCTTCTGGATGAATGGCAATCGAATGAGAGCCCCGGTTCTCTTATCATACTTCTTTAGTATTTTCACTAGTCCTGTAGAAAAAGAATATCGATTTATATCTGAAGGTGTTAATGAATGAATTTTTAAGTTACATAAATCTTCGATTGATGCTCAAAAACACTGACCCTAAGCTGGCCATAAAGGCTATCATATGTGAATCACTTATCTAAATAAAGTTTATAGCACTAATAAAGTAAGGGTGAAAAAGCAATTGAGTGTTGGAGGGTAGCTACGTATGAATAATCCGCCAATTAGGGATTTGAAATTTTATTGAAAACGATGATTGTGATTGAGAAAGAATGAGGGGCAAAAGGACTGACGGAGAAAGATCTCTTGCTCTTTTTACAAGATCCTGATTGGATCCATGTGCTGGGTAAAACGAACAAGATTCTCCTTTGCTTCAGCAGAGATCAAAAGATAATCATCTGCTATAATTATACCGAGTCTATCAGAAACTAAGATCCGATTTCATCCGCTTTTAAAGCAGTTTCAAAATAGAATCTCTTTAAATTTAAAAGAGCCAGACCTCTGTTCAAAGGTCATCAATGATCATGGCTCTATACCTTGTTAACAGGAAGTTCTCCAGGTCGTCTTCAATAAAAACATTGACGACAAAGAATTTTTCAGGAAGCAACAAAAGTAGATATAGAATTAGAAGCCATAATATAATAGCGCTACTAGCAAGGTTAATTGACAAACTTCATGCTGGTCCAAAAAAAAAAAAATATTGACAAACTTCACTGCAAAAGAACTGTACTCCAAGTTGACTCAAATTCCTCTCCCATTTATTCCATCATACTAGAATTTATTTGAAGTTTTGAGCTATTGGTCCTTATTTTAGCACGCAACAGCTACAAATTCTGATATTATTTATATCAATTTCAAGAAAGACAAGCATATGATTACCCTCTAGCGCACACGCACAACAGATTAACTGTGGATGATTTGTCCTAACGCTAGATTTTTCTTTTTCTTTCTTGAAAGTAATAAATAGAAATAGTACCTGTATAGTTAAGGGCACTGTAGTTTTCCAGCAAGACCATCTCTCCATGGAAATCGACGATTTCTTTCCGAATTTTCAGTAACTCTTCATTAGAATCCTTAACTTTCGCCACTCTGTCTTGCAACTCCTGAATTTTAATCATAATAAACATAAGTGAGGAAATTAATTCTCGATATAGACCTATTTTACTCGTCACTAAATAATATGCTCAAGACCACCTTTAGATTAGAATACAGGATATAAAGCAAGCAGTGATAATATTTTGGAAATTTGAAAGCCAGTAGCACAAGCATGTTGCGTTTCAAGTTTCAACATCAACAATGCAGAAGAAACGGTGACGTATAGCACTGTGCAGATTTTTCTTTTGGACAGTGAGTAGAGCACTACACAGATTATTTTTGGGGAACAGGTCCGAGTGTAGTGGTCTGTCAATCATTCTCCCAAACCGAAGAATTTAAAAAAAAAAAAAAAGCTGTGCTAGGTTGCGTCTCCGCTTTTTCTAAGTATATATTCCAAAGCATTTCTAGCCGGGGATCAAAAACGAAAGGAAAAAAAATAAAAAATAAAAAGGATCTAAAACATACTGAGTAGTGATTTGAGCTTAAAATGGGAAAGTCCAAGTTCGGAAGCCGGGAATAGAATGATTTTCTCACCTTCAATTTGATAATGTACTCTTCCTCCTTCTCAACGAAGAAGTTATTGAATTTCTCGAGTTCGTTCTCCAACAAGTTCCTGAAGTCGCACTCCTCCTTGGACATGCCATCCTTGTCTCCGCCCTCCTTGGAGTCGGCGGCGTCGAGTCGCGGCCGTTTGGCGGCCCTGTCGGAGCCACCATCGTGGCCAACTTTAGCAGCAGGCTCTAACTGCTTCAACTTCTTCTTGAGCTCCTTGTAGGAGAGGAACTTGTCCCGCCACTCAGGCAGGGTTTTCTCGATCTGGTTGCTGAGACTCTTACCGAATTTCATGCTTCGCAGTGAGAAGAAAGGCACAAACAACTTCAGCGAAGAAACGAAGCGAATCGAAGAAGGCGTAAGTTGAGGAGAATATGTGAAGTTGTGAGAGAGGAAAGAGAGAGAGGGTAAGGCGTGAGGGAGGAAGGTGATATAACGGTAAGGGAAGGGAATATTCGGAGGGCACTAGTTGGAATATCCAAAAAAGGGTATATTTGGGGTTTTATTCCCCTGCCCTCCTACCTCTCATCTCAACTACTATCATGTAGCCAAATTGACTCACATTTGATCTCAAATTTTGAAGATTGATTTTTTTTATGAATGATTGAGTCTAAAATTTTAAAAATAAATTATTTTTTTAATAAAATTGTTTATTTAGATTCATGATGAATTTATTCTCATTAGAATTAGACAAGTTAGATCACATGAACAGATAAAGTGAAAGGTTTGTTAAATCAATAAATATACTTTTATTTAAATAATATTTATCGATGCAACAAATATAGGGGGTTAGGATAACGCATATTCGATTTCTCTTTATTTCTTTTACTTTAAAGAGAGACGGATGATTTTTATATCTATTGTTGATTTAAAAAAATGAAATTTTATATTTATTGGTGAGGATATCATATGACTTGCAAGCCGCAACATTTCATGTTACCTTAAAAGGTGAAATAGTAAGTTAAAGGAGTGTTCCATGACGATGTATTTTGATCATTTCTCTACATTCCTACAAATCATTGAACTAAAATACAAGGCATGCAAAATTCAGAGACATAATTTGGTGTGACTTATGCTGATGTTTCTGGCAAACGTGTAATTAAATCAACAATCTCTATAATATCATGTAAGAAACCAATAAGATGGAAGGATTTGGGACATACAACGTTGTAAGAATTCTTTTGTTTTTTTGTCATTTCATTATTATATTTCAGTAGTTATGAATGAAAAGTTTTATCTAGGATCATCATACAAAAGAAAACATTATACATTATAAGAGTGATTATATTCCTAAACACATGCCGAAAAAAAAAAAAAGAGATAGCACATATAAATCCCATTTATGAACACATTATCAAAATTATTTCTTGGTCACATATACACGCTAACATATAACAAGCTTTCGTATAACTTTGTTAGCTGGTCCCAAGTGGAGATATTCGGGGCACGAATTTTTTAATTAATTACCATTTTAGTTTGTGTGTGTGAGTGCTAAGTATAGAGAGAGAGAGAGAGAGAGAGAGAGAGAGAGTAGAAGGCAAATTAAAGGGCGCCTTTGCTTTGCTCGCAGAAGACGCATGGTATAATTCCAAGGCATTTGGAATATCCATTCCACTGTTGAGTTTTGGCGTGAATGATCATATCTAATATCTACCCAAATTAAACATATCTTCCTTCCACGTCAACATGATTTTCATATAACCAGCCATTTTAAATTATTTCCCAAACTACAGTACGTAGTACATTTCAAATTGAACTTAGAATATCATATTTATGAATACGAGCTACGTGTGCTTGCGGAACAAGAGCTAGTATGAGTAGTTATATTCCCCAATCGACTCAAATAATTATTCACTTGTGTTGACCACAGTGCCAAAATTGATGGTGACGTCAGTTTAATGGGTCAAATTAAGTTGGCCATCAACCTAACATGGTGACTTAAAAACCTATTCCATGAAACATATTTGTATCAGTCTGTGCTCGGATATGCTTGGGCACAATCTAGATACTCCTTCCTCAGTATTAATATGCAATTAAATAAGTGTTTTACAAACCGTGAAGAGCGTATTTGATACTCCGTTGGTTTTAATCAAATATGATCCAATAGCCTTTTCTATAAATAAAAAACAGAGAAAAGTGAAGTGTTATTGAATTTGATACTGCTGAATTGCAGATATAGTGGAGAGGGGCACAACAGAAGAGAGGGGAAGGTAATGAGAACTAACTAACGAACAAGAGCATTTGTCACGGGACATTATTTAACAATTAATATGAAAATATTTTTTTTCCAAAAATAAATTAAATAAAGGAAAGGTGGGAAGAGGGGCAGATACAAAATAGAAAAAGAGAGAAGGAATATTCGGAAAGAGCTTCCTTTATTCTAAATGGGTCTCCACTCCTCATTTTAAAGCTCCTTGGTCCCACCCCAACTTGTTCTTACCTATCTGTGTCTATTTCTACTTTCTATTCTATCTCTTGCCCAACACACCATTTTTTTTTTTTTTTAAGTAATCATTTAGTTCTTATAAACTACCCGACTCGGACTACAATCATTTTTCTAGAAACATATCTTGACTCAAAATATATGGTATTGGTATTGAATTTTACCAAATATATATATATGATATTGAATAAATTTCATACTTGTTCCCATTTATATCTTTTTTAATTTATTACTTTTAAATACTCCATACTTAAAGATTTTGCATGTGCCTTTAGAAAAATTCAAAGATATAAATAAAAAAATATAGATATTTTTAAAAGAATAAAGTTTCAACTAACTTTTTTCAAAACCTTGAATTTGTTAATTGACACAATTTTGTAGTCTACAAGGAGTATAATTTATTTTTGACTCAAATATAATTTAGTTAGTAAACTTTAACTTATTGTAATTCAATTTTTATAATTTTAACTTAATTACAATTAAATTCATCTAGTTTTAGTAAATTTAAAACATTAGTCCTCAAGTTGTAAAAATAACTTCAATCTTATAATTTTATTTTTTAAAATAAAGAGATTAATGTTTTAAATGATCAAAACTACAGAATCAATTTACATCGAATCAAAATTCAAAAACTTAATTGCAAGTAAGTTAAAATTATAAGAATTATATTATAATGAGTCAAATTTTTTAGACTAAATTATAATGACCTCAAAATTATAGGAATCAAGTGATTAAATTTCTCATGTTTTTAACATCTATGATCTACCACCTCCATTTCTAATTTCATATGAATCAGGTTAAATTTATGACAAACCATGCTCTTATCCATAAATTCCAAACATATATCTCATTTTTTCCCCGAATCTTGTACAGGATATACGGATCTACATCTCATTTCAAAATTAGAAATAACTATTTCATATTTTGTAGTAGTCTTTGTTAATGCTTATTATTAATAAAAGACTATTTTTTGCTATAATTTTGAATTTTTATGATAACATTGTATAAACATAATTTAATAGTCCACGAGTCAGAGAAAAAGAATTATCAATTATATATTTGGATGGAAGAAAGCATGAACGCGTCTTGGGTCAAATCATCAGAAGAAGATCCCAAATGCTAAAAGGCATATACCACACCCAAGTGACATTTGTGGCCTAAGCATTTGGTCCCTCAAAAGAATATCTAGCCCCACCCATTTGTTTCTATTTTGTTTCTATTTCTTTCCTTTTCTTAGTTTATAATCTGCCTAAAGTCTCAACTTCGACCCCCCGCAATATTCCCCAAAAAACAAGATCATCCCCAACAATTCAAACACTGCATATTTTATTATTTAAATATTAGTTCTCATATTTTAAAAAATAAAATTATAAAAATTAAAAATATGTTAAAATTTATTGCTAATATTTAAATTACTAAATCATTTTAATATTTATAAATATTAAAAATTTAAAATATTTGTAATCTTTATAATTTTATTTTTTAAAATATTGGAACTACTACTTAAATAATTAAAAATATAGGAATTAAATTGTAAAACGTAAAATTTAAGAATTCAGTTACAATCAAGTTAAAATTATAAAAATTAAATGAGTTAAAATTTAGATAATAAATTACAATTGAATCAAAACTATAAAAATTAAATAATTAAGTTTTTTAAATAAAAAAGAATTATATTCAAGTCCAATAATTTAGTGACAAAATGAAGCTTGAGAGTCTGGTAATAAAAAAGGGGGGGCCTCAGAGCCCAGCATCATCGATGATACACTGTTAGTGTGCTGATTGCTAAAAAGGCCCAGCCCAACATAGTCAACTGGCCCAACAAGCCTTTACGAGCAAGAGTATCTAGCTCATAGTAGATTATCACGATCTTGGGCGCCCACATGAATGTATCGACACTCGACCTTCATAGCTTGACGATAAAAAAACATTCTCGTCACTTTATTCATCAATAGCTGATATTTCCATTCCTTTTTTTTTTCTTTTTGGCCAAAATCCACTCACTGGATCTCATATAAAAATTTTACCCGACATTATCTATATAGTTTTTTTGGGTTAAAATACTCTATGGATTCTAATTCATATTTATTCTATGAACTTGTGTTTTTGTAAATGATTCTAGGAACATAATGTAAAATATTATATGCAAAAAATATGGATGCCTCTCATGCAATGCTAAACTGGTCGTACTTTTTTATGTAAAAAAATACACTGTAGTTTAATAAAAGAGATTAATTTTCTTTCTAACCAAAAATAAATTTAAATGAGCTGGATTTTGACCAATCATTAGGATTAAGACAAGTCTTGAAATCCAAAAAATACTTACAGTTTTACAGAGATACTTATAAACTAATTATCTGCCAATAAGATTTTTACATCATAGCAAAAGGCATACAAATCGATGCTTTGTGTCAGGTAAACAAACATTAATCCACTTATATTGTAAAGTTTATCTGATGATTGTAGATCTTAAGTGAAAAGATGTTTATTTAGCTGATGACACATTAAGCCTGGGTCCGTGGGGGTGTGTCTAGTACTGGGATCCAAAGGTTGAGATGAAATAGAGCAGGTTTGAGTGTAGTTGATTGGGTTCTTCTTGTGACCCAGTTAAACGTGGGTGACTGGGAGGAATTTCTGTATCAAATTATAAATAGGACCCAATTTATTTCATCCTTTCATTCTGGCTTCCCCGGCTTTTTCAGCAGAACGTTCATGGCCTCAGTCTTGACTACCCTGTTCGGCTTCTCTCCACTCTGTCTTCCTACATGCAAATCTTTATCCAAAGATTGAAGAGAGACAAACACACTGTCCCGTGCTGATGTTCCTTTCCTCACTGCTCTTTGGAATTCGAAAACTCATCCTGTTTGATCGGAACGGCGTTCTCCAGGTCTCCGATGACCCACTCCAGTCTGAGTACGGAGACCGCCTTAATATCGAACCCCAATGCCTTCAATTCCTTGGCCAGACTT